AGATTCACATACTTGAGTAGTATGTCCACTGAGTCACTAGATGTGGATCTGACATTTAGAGTGCCAATAACTAAGTTAAAGTTAATAAATTATCTAAAACCTGATTATTAGCATCCTCTTTCCCCTTTTCTGCTATCCTGCCACTGTCCCTGCAGAAGGGGGAGGGGTATACACAAGACTAAGGGCTATTTTACATTTTTCTTTGTTCATGGGTTGCCATGGCCAAGGAATTCATTACCAGGGGGCCAGACCCCTGATGATGAACTTCTCCTTATTTAACTCAGCTGGTTTTTTGGAAAGCACAGGCACAGTCTGTTGCTTGGACTGTACTTGAAGCCTTTCCAGCATGATGGAATCTGCCAGAACTTAAGCTTCCTTGGCAGAATCTTCAAGTACCCAGAATCACCTCAGTGCTACAATGAGGCATCAGTAGGACTATGTGTATGGCTCTAAGATTATATGCTTCTAAATTGCTTGACTTCCTAACTTATCATTTTCCTAATTTGCAAAGCGAAGGGGGAAGCAGTAGATTATCACTACAATTAAACTCAAAAAATGTTAATATTTGTGGGACAGAGGCCCTTGAAACCATGTTAAGACTATTAATAGGGTGATTTGTAGACTTTTCAGAATAATAATTTGAATTTATATACTACCTTAATGCTTACAAAACACTTTCCTCATAATACTGTGAATTCATGGAATTATTACTTGTTTTTTATCTATGAGAGGTGAAATGATTTGCCCCTAGTCACACAGCCAGTAAGAATTTGATCCAGGTTTTCAACCTAGGTCTCTTCATTCCAAGTTCAGTGTTCTGTCTGTTATGCTACATTAGAGACTTTGCTCCTTGCGTCTTTCTGGAGTAGAGTTGGGGATTGTCCCAGCAGAATCTGTTGGAGTCCAAGTTTAAGGACCCGGGATGGTGGGAGAGGAAGCCTATGTGTCATTTTTACTTGCTTTTCCTAGGATGTTTCTCTGCCCTATCACAGATCTTCTGACAAGCTCCAGATTTCCATTCTATTCCTGTCTGAGTCTGGATCTTTCCTTCACTATAGTTTGGTTCCTGACACTACTCCCACCAGTCACTTCTGCCTTAATACTTCTAAGTACTTTGTATTTTGTAAGTACTTAGTACTAAGTATTTTGTGTTTGTCACATTATAGAATTCATGATTTATTTGTTTAGTTGTATTGTGCCCTTCTTGTCTGGTGTCTTGAAAGTAGTCCATCTCTTTGCCTCTGATGCTATTTTTTCCTGTGGTAATGAAGTTTTTGTTCATTTTCCCTTAGAATCACCTTTGCTGATAGAGTTGTTTCTATATTTCTTTGAAATGGAAAATGTATGAATGAAAAGGGTCTCCTGAATAGTCATATAAATATGTAATTTTAAGACTTAATCTTAATTGCATGCAATGCTTTTCTTTGCTGTGGGATATGTAGAAATTAAGTTGAATGTTAAAGGATTTTCTGAACAGCCAATAGAGTGATTCCTGTTTTTAATATGTGTTCTTTCTGTAGTCAGTTATTCAGATATTAGCTGAAGGGAGGATATTTGTATGGAGTTATACCTGTTGGGATTATTTGTAGTACTTATCTTTTCACTAATATTATATTGTAAGCTCCCTGAATTTGCCTTATTTCTGCTGCTATAGTTTACATTTCTTGAGGGTAAACTTGGTAAGTAAATATTGGTTGAATTGCTTCTTAAGGTTATGGTACCAAAAAGATCCACTAATTTGAAATTCCATTCTAAGCGATAGTATTATTTAATTACTTTTTGGAAGGATCTGGGTAAACTGTTTAAGAGATTTGGTTAGATGTATGTGACTAAACTTTCCCCCTTATTAATTTTTCTTCCCACTAAATTAAGTCAGTGAAGAACTATCTGCCATATTTGATTTTTCATTATTCAAAAAAATTGAGGGGAAAGTGGAGAATCTAAATACAGTAATACCATAAAAATCATTGGTTCACATATGTCTTGGAGCAAAATAAACATTTCATTGATGATTAGATTTAACATTTAAATATTTTTGCAAACCCTCTGATCTAATCTGAACTGATGTTCATTTTGGAGTATCTAAAAGAACTAGAGACAGGGTGATGTAGTGCATTGATGTCCAACCCAGATAGAAAAGTGGGCCACCAAACTGTGCAAAACATTTCCTTTGGGTTATATATGACTTAGAAAACCCCACATTTATATTTTCTTTTCTTTCTTTTTTTTTTTAAATTATACATCAACACAATCAGATGGGAACTACATTTTAGTCTGGTTCAGGCTGCACCCAGGAGTTTTGTGGACTTAATGTGTTTGACCTCTAATGTAGTGGATAGAGAGCTAGCCTTGAAATCAGGAAGACCTGGGTTCCAGTTTAGATTCTGACACATATTCTACCTGTGACCCCGGACAAGTCACTTAGCAGTGCTCAAGTCAATTCTTGTGGTCTCTAAGTTGCACTGGAGGGGCCAGCCTGCTTTGGTAAGTGAAAGTCCCTGTAGTATTCCAGTGAAATCAAAGGTCCAAGCCCTCTCCTTATCCTAAAAAACAAAACCCAAAACCTAGTAGGAGCTTGAATTCTCTCAATAGCTTAAATTTTGTGTGCTTTACTTTGCTTTATATTACTTTTACTAGTTTTGAAGTGCATGGTATGTAAAATTCTGTTTGTATAGTTACTCTGGCAATAAACTCTTCTTTACCAACTGTTATAAGCTTCTTCTCAAAGTAAAAAAAAATTCTCGTAGTTGAAATGGACATTGTATTTTCTTCCATTCATCTACAACTCTTCTGTGTTGCCCTAAAGCTAAAACAATTTGGTAATTGTTTTAGAAGCTTAAGATAACCTAGCTGCGTGTAGTAAACGGGAGAAGTAAAGTGAAAAGCAGAAATTTATAAGATAGGATAAGGAAGAATGTATGATTTACTAGATAGTTACAGAAATTATCTAGATGTTGCTCCCTATATGCTTTTTGGGTGATATTCATATTAAAAAGTAATAGTTAAGTCCTTAAACTTCCTGGTTCTCATATTAGAATTAGCTATAATAAAATTCATTTAACAAGTTATCCAGCCTGCTTTCTCTTCCAGTTTGGCAAGACCATCCAGTAATTAGGAAAGCTGTCTTTGGCAAGGAGACAAAATCACCTGGGCTGGCTTAAATCTTCAGAGAGCAACTTTGAGCATTTGAATCTAATTACTTAATGTGGGTAGAATTAAGCTGAGTAATTTCCATTAGATTTTGTAGCTTTGAAACAGTTAAAATTCTTGTTAGGTTGTTTCAGTCGTGTCTGACTCTCTGTGACACCAGTTTGGGATTTTCTTGGCAAAGATACTGGAGTGGTGTGACATTTCTTTTTCCAGCTCATCTCAAGATGAGGAACTAAGGCAAACAGGGTTAAGTGCTTAGGGGTCACACAGCAAGTAAAGTGTCTGAGGTCAGACTTGAACTCACGTCTTCTTGGCTCCAGGTTCAATACTCTACCCACTGTGCCACCAAAATATTTATGTATTTTTTTCTGGTGCCTGTTAATATTTTAAATGTGTTGTGTAAGTTGCAGAACATTTGCAGATCTGCATTGAGTGGATGAAATTTTCATACCAGCAGTTCCCTGTACCAGTGAAATCATAGTTTTAGACCAGGGAGGAAAAAATCAGTTTGTACTTTTCAAAACACTTCCACATACTGTTTATTGTTCCAGTTGATAGTCAGCAACCCTGTGAGGCACGTAGGAAAGATTGTTAAAGTACATGTACTGGGCTCTTCTCCCAGCCCCCACTCACACTGGCAAGTCTGGTCCCCAGTGAGCAGCTGCTGCTGCTCCTTGTCCCCTGAGAGTTCTAGGGGGAGTTAGGAGGTTTTTTGACTGTTATTGCTCACTAGTCTTCCTTGCTGTGCTTCCCTCCATTTGTTACCAATTTGTTAGTCAGACTTTATTAAATTTCAGAAGGAGGCATTTGCTGAGGTGATAAAGTAAGGACAGTTAGCACAAACACATCTCCCCACTCCACTTTTCCAATGCCCCCATTATCTGAGACAAGTTGGAATTTTAAAAATTTTAGACATATAAAAGAGGAGGTCCTGGGAAAATCTATTTCCCTTCAAAATGAGAAAATACAGCAAGTATGTATGGTAAAATGAGAACCAGAAAGTAAAGTTGTTTGGATTTGACTTTCCACAATGAATGTTACAAAGTGCTCCCAAGCAATCATTTTCGTTTCAGGTTTTGATATTGTTATCCATGGACATTTATTAGATCTTTGCCCCTTGGTGCTGTTATTTTCATTGGATCATAGTTTTAGATCCGTAAAGAGGCATATGTTTGCTGGCCATTCTGAAGGCTAGGAAACTTTAAAAAAAAAAGAAAAATAGTTGCCTGGGCTTTGCTTTTATCTTTGTTGTCTTGACATTTGCAAATGCTTGTTCTTTTTTTTCCCCCAGGAGAGAAAACTGCAATCTTATTCTCAATTTTGTCATTTAAAAAAATAAAATGTAATGTATATTTTAAAACTTGGTAATTTTCAGGATCCTACCACCTTCCTTTTTCATCTCCCCTTTATTAGTTGATAGTCAGATGATAGATTTGTCCTGATAGAACATTGGGAGTTCCCAGTTGGGTTACTTAGGCATATCTAATCTTACAGCATACAGTTAACTTCTAGTGGCTAAATCCATTACATTTTGGTTTAGTATTTAATTGACTATTTGCTATATAACTATAAGAAGTGTGATTTTAAAAATAAAAAGAGAATAAAACTGTTAATCCCTTCTTTAGAAGTCGAAGGATCTGGATAGATTTTGAGCAATCAAATATCTCAAGTAATATTACCATAGGAGCTGAATGCTGCCTATATTCCAGTTTTGTTAGTCATGTAGTTTACATGGAGGGTTTGTCTTTAGAATATGATTTTGGGGATTTGATAATTTCTTTAGTTAAAATGTTATACAGGTTATGGTAACTGTCATTTTTATTTAGGGTATGATTTTGTTTTTATTCCAGGAAGCTCTACAAAGGATTATCACAACTCTGGCAAGCAAAAATGATGAAATTCAGAATTTTATTGATACTCTAAATCACACACTAAAAGGAGTTCAGGTATGAGTCAGTTAAAAACCTTAAATATGGCACAGAATGAATGACATTCAGATCAGATCAAATGGATGTAAACATGTAGTCAACTCTAGATTTAATTATTTTTATTATTTAATTATATTTAATTATTATTATTATTATTATTTTGGTGAGGTAGTTGGGGTTAAGTGACTTGTCCAGGGTCATACAGCTAGTGAGTATCATGTGTCTGAGACCAGATTTGAACTCAGGTCCTCCTGACTCCAGGGCTGGTGCTCTATCCACTGCACCACCTAGCTGCCCCTATTAGATTTTATTATTAAGACTATAATTCTGCTTCCTATATGTGTACGTCTGGAACTACTCAGGTAGATGAAGAATCTTATTTTTTCATGGTATATAATACGTCATTATGGCATATACATTTTATTTGTGTGATCTCTTTGTTCTTTGATAACTGTATTGTGACTATATTATTCTCTTTACCTGCTTCTTTCCATTTAGTAAAATTTATTACTTTTAAACAGGCCAACTCTTCTAGCATACTTCTAGAATTAGATGAGGAATTTGATGGTCTTTATTCTATATTGGATGAGATGAAAGAAAGTATGACTAATTCTATCAAGCAAGAACAAGCTCGTAAATCACAAGAACTGCAGGTAAGTTCTTATAATATTTCAAAAATAAGAATATTTAATTCAGGTAATTTTATAATTTATTAAATACTTTGAAAGCAAATATGAATAGATGAAAGTATGTGTAAGCTTTAAAAATATCTCTAATTGCTTGGTGTAAAGTGTAAATGCTTCTATGGTGATATGTATTAATAATAATAAAAATGCCTGGTTCATTTATAAAAATATACACACTAAAATCTGTATAACCCTTAACCTGCCAACTGGAAATTTGTAGCAATAAGCATTTTGGTATCCATACAAATCTTCATTTTAGAAACCAGACCAATATGCTGTGTCCTTGTGCTTTGAAAGAGTTTTAATGAAAATGGGAAGTTTAAATCATCTCTGTGTTTAGCCAAACAGAATAAATCTAGAGGGGAAGATAAAATACTTGTATATATAGCTAGAAAGTAGAAATAAGTACATGAGAAATGTAGTGTTTAAAAAGTAATGGTTGATTAGAAATGAGAGCTATCAACCATTTATTGAGCTTGTACTGTGGAAACAGTACTATGTATTTCCTTTAGACACTTCTAGATTTATTAAAGAGAGAAATCTTAGCTATACAGAGTATAAAGCAGTTGGAGAATGGAGGGTTGGGTGGGTGGAGAGAATTAATTGACCATATTAAAATAAAGCAAAGCAATTTCGTTTTTTTCTCTGGAGAGTGAAATGTAAAAAGTTCAGCCTACTCACTTTTTATTAAGGATAGAAAATATAACATTTTATTCATTAAATAAAACAAGAAATTTACTTCAGTTCCTTTTTAAAGCTGTTTAAGTGAAAGAGAAGTCCAAGGGCAAGAAAAGGGAGAGAGAGATAACAGAGAGAAAAAAGGCAACATTTCCTGCCTACACATCCATCCTGTTCCTCTGTCTTGTCCTTGAGAAAGTAAGGGATGAGATAATCTCTAACATCCCTTTCAGCTCAAATATTTTGTGACCTGCAAAAATTTTTACCCCTTAGGCCCTTACCTGCTTAAACACCCTCATCACTTCAGCTTTAGCCCTGCTGAAACAGATTTATATATTCCCACGTTGATCTGCATGTCCTCTCTGTTCCTCAAAATTCCCATGTCTGCCCTATTGCCAAAATCTACTCCCTATACCCCCAGTTGACAAAAATTCCTGCCTAATTAGGCTGTCTTCAGTAGCCATTGGGCCTAGTCTCCCTGCTAACCCCCATTGGCCTTACCTCACCTACCAAGCAGTCTAGCCCCTATTGTTGCTATTACCAGTTCCTTCTCCTTTCCACTTTTAACCCGAATTACCTGTTATCTGCTCCTTTGTTTGAGAAAGTGAGCTACTGAGGTGAAGTCACCTTTGGAAGAGGGTGCAAGCTGCTGGAACAATTAGGCAGGAAATTAAATTTGATAATCTTATTTGCAGTAGTGGCTAGGAGTAGCCAAAAGGCACTTAATTTTAGGAAACTTGTCATGGGTCAGATGAAATAAAGCTACTGGCCTTGTACCTGAGGGTACAACCTGTTTAGAAAAATATTTTCCAGCTATCCTAGGGTAAATTGTGTACATTGTTATATGCCATTGTTATGGGTGACTTAATTGGTTAATTTTCAACCATCTAGTACTCCTCAATTCTCCAACATATTGGTTTTTTATTGTCATCAGCTGAGTTTAGGGTTTGTTTAGAATGACCTACTCATTGTCTTCTGTAATATGTACCGAAGATAGTTGAATCAGAAAGTGGAAGAGATTTTCATCAAATTCAGCATGTCATAGTGGTCATAGGGTCAGTAAGGACCATGGTTCAGGTTCTGCCTTTGACGTTGACCATGAGACTGAGGGCAAGTCACTTAACTTCTCATTGCCCCCAAGCAATGAGAAGACCCTAAGACCTCTTTTAAGACCCTAAGTTCCAAGCTTGTTTCAGTCTGCATTGATAAGGGGAATATTAAATTATCATCTTTATGCAGATATTTCTCAGATCTGTTTTTCCTGCTTTAACCTCTTCTGATCTCCCCTCTCATCTCCAGTGGCCTACTAAATATCTTTAACTAGATGTCTTACAGACACCTTAAACTCAACATATCTAAAATTGAACTCTCTCTCCATATCCAATCTGCAGCCAAGTCCTATTGCTTCTATCTTCACACCAAATCTTGTATATGTCCCCCTTCTCTTCTCTGACTGCCATTGCCTTGGAGCAGTCCCATTATCTTATACCTAGACTATTATAGTAACCTTTTGGTTGTTTGGTCTTCCTGCCTCAAGTATCTCCCTATTCCAGTCCATCTTCCACAAAGCTATCAAAGTAACCTTCCTAAAGTTCAGGTTTGACCAAGCCCTTTATAATCAGGCCTTTCCTATTTTTCCAGTCTTCTTATACCTTATTCTGGTCTTCCCTTCCCCCACCCATATTCTGCTATCCAGTGATACCAATCTTCTTGCTGTTCTTCACACAAGATATTCTATCTTCTGCTTCTGTGCCTTTTCACTGGTTGTCTCTCATGCCTAGAATTCTCCCCCTCATATGTTCATCATGGCTTCCTTGGCTTCCTTCAAATCTTAGCTCTAAAATTCCTCGATTCCCTGTATTTCTAGTGCCTTTGCTGTGAGATTATTTTCAATTTATCCTGTATTTATGTTGTTTATATGTTATTGTTTGTATGTTGTCTCCCCCATAAGATAGAGAGCTCCTTGGGGCAGAGAGTGTTTTTGCCTTTTTTAGTGCAGGTACTTAATGCTTCTTGACTTGACTACACCAAAGAAATAATGGGTCTGGACTTCCCTTCCCCACCCTCAATAATAAATTAGAAAATCTCCACTTGTTAGCTCATTCAATTCATTGAGATATCAACAATGACTTTTGAATGACAGTTATCCATAGAGTACTATATTAGATGTTGTATAATTGACTGTTAGCTGTGATAAAGATTTAAGTTTGAATTTAAAAAGAAAAAAGAATAAAATTATTAATCCCATCACTAGCAGTTGCAGGCTCTAAGCGAGTTTAGAAAATAAAGTAAAAAACAGTCTTTGCCATCAAAGAAGATAATCTGAATTCTGAAGATTCGACTATATTTAGACATCAAAAATGCATATAAGGAAATATGTAACTAAGGGCAGCTTAAGATAGTTATTCTGCATAGTGAAAAGGGACTGTGGGTTGGTAGGTTTATTTAGAGAATGCTTCCTAGAGAAAGTGATTTTTGAGAAGGCCTGAAAAAGGGAGAGACATTGTTTAAAAGAGCAAAGGGAAAGGACATTCCAGGTAAAAGGCAATCCAATATTGAAGATATACAGAGACCAAAGAAAATAGAATTCTGTGAATTGTCCTTGAAGCAAAATAGTAAGTTAGTGTTAACTCAGACTAAGTCTGATTTAGTCTGCCATATGATCTGGCCTTTGAGAATAATCCTTTTTAAAATATAAAAATAGAGATTTATTTTTTACACAGGGTAGTGGATTAGTAAATTACATTAATCTGTGTTAGAGTAAGAGGTAGCGTGGTATAATAGATAGGTGGTCAGAAAGTTCTGGGTTCAAGTTTTGCTTCTGACATATACTAGCTATGTGACCCTGGGCAAGTTATAGATTTAGTGCTTGAAGAGATCTTAGTAAAACCATTGAGGTCAACCCTTTCATTTTGCAGATGAGAAAACTGAGGCTAATTGAAATTAAGTGACTTGACCAGGATTACACAGCTAGAATCTAGGGTAGGCCTTCCTGATTCTCAAGTCCAGTACTTTGTCTGCTATGCCACCATAACCTCTTAATGCTCTAGAAATTCTCTTAAGATTTGTAGAGAAGGTGCCAACTTTCATTGGTAGAGGGAGTTAATTCATTAGGCAATGCCCAATACCAGTGAAATCTCAGATCCAGTCCCAGTCCTGTATGTTACAGTAGATATAAATAGATAATTTAATAATAATTATATACTTTATAATAGGTATAAATAGATAATTCTAGAATTTTAACTGCCCCTATAATTGTTCTTGTGATTGTATGTTAAGGCACTGAAACCTCCATAAATAGAAACCTGAGCCCTTGCTTCATGTATTGAGTTAGACATATGTCATTGGTCAAGTATAATTAAATTATCTAAAGTCTTGTGTGTTGGCTAGATTTTCCAGTGAATTGTGTCCAGGTTGATCTTGATCTTGGTTCTTTGAGAGTAAATTATAGTGAGGAAGGAAATGTGATTACTTTTTATATCGGTCAATAAACATTAAGTGCCTACTATCTATGTACCAGGCACTGTACTAAGCTATGAAGATACAAAAAGAGGTAAAAGACAGTCCCTGCCCTCATACAATCTAATAGGGGAGACAGTGTGAAAATAAATACAAAGCAAACTATATACAGGATAAATAGGAGATGGGTACAGAAAGTATGCACTGAAATTAAGAGGGGCTAAGGAAAGCTTCCTGTAGAAGTTGGACTTTAGTTGGGACTTAAAGAAGCCAGGGAGGTCAGTAGTCACAGTAGAGGAGGGAAAGCATTCCAGGCATAGAAGATAGCTGGAGAGAATGCTCAGAGCTGAGTGTCCTGTTGTGGAACAGCCAGGAGACCAGTGTTACTGGAACTGAGTCCATGTTGGGGAGTAATATGTAAGAAAACTGGAAAGGTTTTTCCTTTCCTGGACTAGGTTATGAAATGCTTTGAATGTCAAATAGAGCATTTTGTATTTAACCTTGGAAGCCATAGGAAGCCACTGGAGTTTATTCAGTAGGGGGCAGCGTGATTGGACCTGTGCTTTAGAAAAATCTGGGTGGAGGATGTATTGGAGAGAGGTGAGACTGGAGGCAGGTAGATCCACCAGCAGTCTGTTGCAGTAATTGAAGTATAGATGAATAGGTGAGATCCTGCACTAGAGTGGTGGCACTATTAGAGGTGAGAAGGAGGTGTATTTAAGAGATTTTATAAAGATGAAATTGACAGGCCTTGGCAAAAGATTGGATATGGAAGGTAAGAGATAGTGAGGAAACCAGGATGACTTCTACATTGCAAACCTGAAAGACTGGGAGGATAGTGTTGCCCTCTACAGTAATAGGGAGAGTAGGAGGTGGGGGAGGTGTAGGAGGAAAGATAATGAGTTCTGTTTTGGACATAGTGAGTTTAAGATGTCTATTGGACATCCGGTTCTAGATGTCTAAAAAGGCAGTTGAAGATGTGAGATTGGAGGTCAGCAGAGAGATTGGGGCAGGAAAGGTAGATTTGAGAATCATCAACATAGAGATGGTAATTAAATCAATTGATTACATTTAATTAAATTAAAAGGGAGCAGCTGAGTTCACTAAGTAAAGATGGAGAAGAGAAGAGGACAGAACTCTGTAGGACATCTCTGATTAGAGGGTGTGATCTGAAGGAGGATCCAGCAAAGAAGACAGAGAAGTGGTCAGATAGGTAGGAGGAAAACCAGGAGAATATCCTGACAACCTAGAGAGAAGAGATGATCAAGGAGAAAAGAGTGATCAACAATGTCGAAGGCTCTGGCAACTAAGAAATCATTAGTAATTTGAAGAGAGCAGTTTTGGTGGAATGATGAAGTGGGAAGCTGAATTGAAAGGGGTTAAGAAGAGAGTAAAAGGAGAGAAAATGGAGTCACTTATTTGTAGACAGCCTTTTCAAGGAGTTTAGCTACAAAGGACAGAAGAGATATAGTACAGTAGTTAGTGGGAATGGAAGGATTAAATGAAGATTTTTTTCGGGATGGGGAGACATGGGCATGTTTGTGGGCAGTAGGAGATGAGCCATGAAGGAAGGAATCATTCCTAATAGAGGGGTCATGAGGAAAAACTTTGAAAAAGAAGGAGCATATGATCTGGACCTTGAAGTAAGGGAAAGATTTCATCAAGCGGAAATGAGGGGAAAGGTTCTTCTAGATATTGGGATAATATTTGCAAATGCTTAGGAGTGGAAAAGATAAGGATGAAATTAGAAAATATTTAGTAGTTTATTTTGACCACTTCCTAGTGAAAAAAAGCCATGTTCAAAAAATTTATTTCATTCTACAGTCTGAATTCGCTTTATTGTAGGACTTCTGGAATGATGGTTGGTCATTGTGTTGATTAGAATTCTTATGGCTTTCAAAGTTGTTTTGTAGTGTTGTTACTGTATTAATTGTTCTTCTGGTTCTGTTCACTTCCCTGAATCATTTCATAAAAGTCTTACTAGATTTCATTGAAACTATCCCTTTCATTATTTTTATGGCACAATAGTGCCATTGCAATCATATAGTATAACCTGTTAGCCATTCCCCAATTCATGGTCATCCTCTTGGTTTTTAATAATAAAAAGAGCTGCTATAAATATTTTTGTTCATATTGGTCTTTTTTTTTTTAGGCAGTTGGGGTTAAGTGACTTGCCCAGGGTCATACAGCTAGTAAGTGTCAAGTGTTTGGTCTGAGGCTGGATTTGAACTCAGGTCCTCCTGACTTCAGGGCCAGTACTCTGTCCACTGTGCCACCTAGCTGCCCCGATATTGGTCTTTTCTGTTTTATTTGATCTGTCCTGGGATATAGACCTTGTAGTGGTATCAGTGGGCCAAAGGGTATACATAATTAAGTAGCTTTTTGCAACCTGCTCATTTTATAGATGAGATTGATTGCCAAAGAAGTGAAGTGACTTGCTCAGGGTAATAGAGGTGGTAGCCAGATTTTAGATTTTGAGTAAGGTAAGTCGTTTTGTATTTTAATTAAGCATGGTGTCATAGATTTAAACCTGGAAAGAATCTTAAAAGAGATCTAGTCCAATCCTTTCATTTGTTGTCCAGTCATTTTTCAGTCATGCGCAACTTGCCATAACTACATTTGGGGTTTTCTTAGCAAAGGTACTAGAATGGTTTGCCATTTCCTTCTCCAGCTTATTTTACAGAAGAATAATTGAGTTAAACAAGATTAAGTCCCTTTCTCAATGTCACACAGTTTAGTAAATGTCTAAGCCAGATTTGAACTCAGGAAGGTGAAATCCTGACTCCAGGCCCAACACTCTATCCACTACACCACCTAGCTGCCCTCTTCATTTTGTAGATGAGAAAATTGAGACCTAGACAATGATTTACCCAAGAATCACTTTGGTAGTCTCAAGGCAGTGGGGATCTGCTACAATTTCTTAGCAGAGTGCAACCTGATCACACCCCCTCTGTAATTAGGTAGATTACTTTGGTAGCAGTGTGAAGGTTGAATTAAAGAAGGGGGGGAAACTGAAGATAGGGTGATCAATTAGGCCGTTACAGTAGTATAAAGATATAATCAGAGTCTGAACTAGAGTTCTGATAGTAAGAATGGAAAGGAGAAGATGGATATGACAGATCTTTTGGGGGTAGAATTTGTAAGATTTGGCAACTGATTGGATCTTAGAGGAGTAGGAAGAAGAGTCAGACAATTCTAAGAATTTCAGTCTGGGTAACTGGGAGGATAGTGGATTATTTTAGGAGAAAAAGGGCAGATTTGGTGTTAAGGCTGATAAATTCAAATTTGAGCATGTTGAGTTTTAACTTTTCATGAGACTTCCAAATAGAAATGACTCTCAGGTAAGTTGAAAATTTGAGATTGGGACTCAGGGGAGGGTAGAACTAGAAATAATGATCTCTGGGAGTCATTTACATAGAGACAGGAATAGAATTCTTGTGAGTGGATGAGATTTCCCAGGTAGATGTTGTAAAGAGAGGAAAGAAAAGACTCAAGAACAGGACTTCAAGGGATGCCCAGATTAGGGGGTGGTAGGAGAAAGGAACTCTTCAACAGAAACTGAAAAGGAACCTCCTGTGAGAGGTAAAAGGATAACCAGAACAAAGCAGGGCTGTAGAAACCAAGAAAGGAGAGAATGTCAAGAAGGAAAGGGCATTGTGTAAACAGTGTCAGATATTTCAAAGGGGGTCAAAGAAGATAAGGGCTTTGAAAATGACGTTGAATTTGTCATTTAGTAGGTCATTGGTGGATGACTTTGGAAAAACAGTTTCAGCAGAGTGATTGGAATTGAAACAAAATGTTAGGATTGGAGAGAACTTAAAGGCAATAGATTTTTATAGACATCTGAAAGTTTGCATAGTCCTTTATGGCTCCTAATTTGTTTTTATATATGTTATCTAACTTAACCCTCACAGCAAATTTAAGGGGGCATACAGGGCAACTATTATTCAAGTTTTATAGATGAAAATAGACAAACCACTTCTCTGAGCCTAAGGTCACATAGCTAGCAAGTTTCAGAGCTGTTGCTCAAAGCTGCTTGATTTCTAAGTCCAGAGCTCTTTGTTACTACATTGTGCTACCTCAGTAAGTAATTGAGTATCAACTGTGTAATAATAACTGTTTATTTTTATTTGTAAGTATAATAAATGATGAAAAAAATTATATTTGCTTATATGAAGACAAAACATTACTATAGCCAGGTTGTTAGACATATTAGTGTTTAATTCTAAATAGTGTTATAATTTCATTAAAATCTTCTTTATTTGTAGAGTGCTTAAGATGTCCCTGGATAATTTTGTTTGAATGAACCCCTAAAATGATGGAAGATGAGCTGTGCTGATAAAATTGCCTTGAGTTTTATTGAAGTATGATGAATAATTATAACTTCATGTGATAGTAGAAAAATCTCTTACTGGTTTAACTTTTTCCACTCTACATACAGAGTCAGCTTAGCCAATGTACCAATGCCCTGGAGAATTCTGAAGAGCTGCTAGAATTTGCTTCAAGGTCACTAGATATAAAGGAACCTGAAGAATTCTCAAAGGTAAGAAAGAAGACAAAACCAAAAAACTTAATCTATTATAGAAAAATAATATAGAAATTTGGTTCTTTCCCCTCCAGTTTTGGACTGGGCCTTTTATCACTAATACTTAAAAATAAATAAAACACACTACTACACTTGGGATTTCTTGATAAGTATAATGTTATATCCGTTTTCCAAAGCAGAATAAGTCTTTGGAGTCATGGACAAATTATATAAAGTTTTATTTTACTTTGACTACTTAAAATTTCAGATGACTAGTCAAGTGGTCAAATTAGTCTTTACTGAATGCCTCTGTTGGTGGTTTATTTTAGGAGCACTTGTCAGGGTAGCAGCATATTTTTGTGGCACACAAACCAAATAACTAAAAAATGGAAATGGAAAAGGCATGAAAGAAAATAACTGTTAACAGCTTTGAAAATTTAGTTTGGAATTCTTTGTAAGTTGGTAAGAGAATGTTTGCTATAATGTACTTGATGCTTGTTAATGCTTTAACACTATGAACTATTGGAATAACAATGATGATGTTATTAAATTCATATTGTTTATTAAAAATGTAGATTCTCTTTAAGGCATGTTTTAATCAGTCTTTCAAATATAAAAAATAAGCATTGAGGTATATTTTAGTTGCTTAGTCTAATTTATAAGTTATGAATTCCAGAATTCCAATTTGGGTAGTTTTAACACTGTTAGTTTTTGTATCACATTCAAAATTGAGTGGTTAAAAGAGTAGGCAATCTGTTAAATTGCTCAATTAGTAACGTCTAAATCTGTTAATTATATTTTTCTCTCTTATCAAGAACTCCCACATTCAAGTTTGAAATTTGATCAGTAATACTAACATGTAGTGAGCAATATCAGATTAAGAAAAAATAACTTTTGAAATTGCATTGTCCAATGTGACTGTTCTTTCAAGTAAATTTTTAGTGAATTCTAGGGCTGAGAAAGCTTTCTGAGAAAGAGAAACACTTAAAACATCCAATGTTTATTAATGCATTGATGTGACCACTGTAAGGAAAACATGGAGAAGACAAGAACTACTTGAGAGAAAGGATTGCTTGCATTAACATTTATAGGTTTTACAATGCTGGGAAGAATTATGGAATGTGAACATCAAGTATAGAGGGATGTATAATGTTATATTTTATAATCCACTCTACTCCTTTAATAAAACAAATCTTTAAAAAAATTATGTCAGTTTATCTCTATTTTTAACCATCTTTTTTATCCTTTTGCTGTCCTTTAAATTAAGATATAAAAAGCAGATCCTATTTTTCAAGGCAGAAGCAATAACATGTAATTTTTTGTTGATTGATGAGAATTATTTTTATTGATAATGTCAGTAATTTCTTAAATAGGAGAGGAATTAGGCTCAATCAAATTTAGCTTTTTACTGTTGATGAAGAAAGAACTTGTTAAACAAAGGTGTTAAAAGAGATTTAAAAATTTTTAAGGACTCATTTTTATAAAAGCAACTCTTGTTTTGGGGTCACTTATTTGGCTACCTCAACTATAGCCAAGAGTCAGGAAAGAAGGGGAAGAGGTCCCAGAGTAGCTAAAATAACTCAAGTAAAGCTCATATACTTTACTTATAATAGCGCTTCTTAGAGCCTGTTTACTATTCTTTGACACAGAAGGCTAGTGATCTTGGTTATCTGATTTCCTAGTCCTGAGCAGATTAGAAGCAACAAATTGACATAGAAGACTGGGAGAAAAAAGCTGGGTCCATTTACATTAGTAAGAACTTATGGCAGATAGCATGGAAGGGAAGGAAGAAATACAGGAAATTATATACAAAGCAGAAAAGAAAGCTTTAAAAAAGTACAGGTGTCTAGGACTTTTTGTGTAAAATGAGTAGTCTTATATGCCTCAGTAGTTCTTAAGTGCGATAATGTTCATAATGATACTCCCCAGTCAAAAGGAGGTAAATCTTGTTTAACATTCTATACTTAAGAAAACAGAAATATCCAACATATTTTAGAAACATCATTTCCCACCTCCAAATAGTTAAAAACTGTAAGAAAAGTTCTAGTATTTAAAGGGATAGATAGGTTTCAGTTACCTGGAAAATTCAGTCATATAGAAAAGCTTATTTCCCTGAATTTCAGGATAAATGAAACTTTGTATCTGTTTATAGCATAGACAAATAACAGAATCAGATAGAAATAAGCAGATGTTTGGTTGATATTTTTATATAATAATTACAGATTATTTTCATATATGTATTAAAACTAGATTGGACTTACTAGAAATATTTGAAAATAAAATAACTTTGTTTTTATGTATTTTATAATTTAGACTTGAGTAATTCATACAAGCTTTTTCCCTTCCTTTCCTCCAAGTTGTTTTTAACCTGGTTTTAGTATAGTTTAGCATTCAGAATTATAGTTTGTTAATCATTATTTTGTTATGAGTTTATTTTATTTGTACTTAACCTTAGGGACTAGTACACAAATTTAGTCTCTTGATTTTTCAGTCCTATCCATAGCCTGCACAGCTTATATGACACGTAGAGTAGAACAAATCTCCATTTTATGTTGAAGAAAAAAGTGGGATATTTTTAATAGTGAAATTTTCCTGGTGTCCTTTGGATCATAGGCCACTATACCTAGGAGTTGGACCTAGTTTACTTGGATCAATCAATAAAATTTTTCATTAGCATTTCCCAGGCTGACCAGTGTCATAATGATAATGCTCTAGTCAGACTAGTAACTTGGCATCAATCATCTTCAGTTTTATTAAAATTCTCAATTGCTTAAAATCTGATTTTATGCACAATCTACATCTTTCAAATTTTCATCCGGAGGAGTGTTTTTACACAAGAATAATGGGTTAGGGATCAGACACTGGAATCCAGTCACAGTTTCTTCCCAAACAAGAAGTGTAACTTGAGCAAATAAACCACTTAAATTTGGGACCAAGACTCATCATCTGTAAAATGAGGGCATTGGACTAGGTGTTGAAATGCAGCATCTGTTCTAATTGCCGTCTTTCACAGCGCTGTTTTTTGTATCATAGGAAAAGAATTATTGCAGTCAATTGGAATTTTCTTTTTCTTGCTAACATTCTTAAAAGAATGATATTGTCCTCTGTGAACTGGTCTTTAAGGTTCAAAACTGTGCTGTCACTTGAATTATTTTTTTGTTCTTATCTGTGTGAAGTTTTATATAATACAGCCTCAGGTTGCTCAGGGCAGGATTTGAAAAAACAGGTTACTAGGACAGACTAGACTGCATGTGACATCTCTAGTTTAAAATGAGTAAATTTCTTCGATAATCTTCTGAGTAATTTATGTAAATACACAGACCTCCACTAAAATCTCATTTTGATGCTTCATCATCAGAGGTGACCCTGGGCTCTTGAAATCTATTGTCATGTGCAAGCTCTAGCAGATTCTACCAGTTTGGAAAGGCTTTGAGTATGAACACAGTGTTGGACTGTATATATGTTGTTCAATAACTGGCCTGACTATGTTTAAGAAGAAGCTTATCACTGGGTTTGTTACAATGTGCTAAATTTTTTTGGCCTCAGCAACTTGCAAATATGAATTATTGAGCCAGAAAGGTTTTGTGTATGAATCTGATGATGGACTACTATGTTGACTGCCTAAGAACCAGCCTAACTAAGAGTAGAGTATTATTACAAAAAGGTTAGTCACCAGATGAAAGATTTTTTTGAGGGGGGTAGGAATGGCAGTCAATGAAAAGGATAAAAATATAAAATTGTTTTCATTTCTGTGTAGCCCTTACTGTTTCTACAGTGATTAGTATAAAATGTGGGAAAAGGTAGTGGAGAGTATTAAAAGTCATACAGATTTTTGACTTTACTTATATTAATTAATTTAACTGTTGATAGCTTACATTATATCTCTGTACCAAAAACAGAGTTTAAAGACTTTTGGAACAATTATCTCATGTAATGAACATAGACAGATAAAGGGACTGGATTTGTGATTTCATTGGTGGAAGTTATTCCCAGATGAGGAAGTTCCCTCTACCAATGAAGGTTGGCACCTTTTCTGCAACTTAGAGTGTAGAAAGTTTCTTAAGAAGAACCTAGAATCATATTTCAAAAAAATTATCAAGGAAAACTGCTCTGATAGCCTAGAACCAGAGGGGAAAATAGAAATTAAAGGAATCCACCTCCAGAAAGAGATACCCAAATGAAAATTCCCAAGAATATTATATGGTGTAAGATTTTGGCCTATGCTTAGTTTCTGCCATACTCTTTTCCAGTTTTGCCAGCAGTTTTTGTCAAAGAGTGAGTTCTTATCCCAGAAGCTGGGGTCTTTGGATTTATCAAGTAATAGATTACTATAGTCATTGACTACGGTGTCTTGCATACTTAACCTATTCCACTGATTCACCACTCTATTTCTTAGCGAGTATCAAGGAGTTTTGAAGATTGCTGCTTTATAATACAATTTAAGATCTGGAATGGCTAGGCCACCTTCCCTTGCATTTCTTTTCATTAGTTCCCTTGATATTCTGGATCTTTTGTTATTCCAAATGATTCTTGTTATTTTTTTTTCTAATTCTATAAAATAATTTTTTCATAGTTTGATTGGTATGGCACTGAATAAGTAAATTAGCTTAGGTAGAATTGTCATTTTTATTATATTAGCTCAGCCTACCCATGAGCAACTGATGTTTTTCCAATTATTTAGATCTGACTTTATTTGTGTGAAAAGTGTTCCATGGGGTACTATAGCCAAATTCTAGAGATCCCAGGTCAAGGAGAAAATATTGCTGGCAGTCAGAAAGAAACAATTCAGGTATCACGGAGCCATAGTAAAGATAACACATAATTCAGCAGGTTATACATTAAAGAATCAGAGGGCTTGGAACATGATATTCTGGAAGGCAAAGAATCTAGGATTACAGCCAAGAATGGCCTACCCAGAAAAATTGAGTATCATCCTTCAGGGAAGAAAATGGATATTTAATGAAATAGAGGACTTTCAGGCATTCCTGTTGAGATCAGAGCTGAAAAAAAATTTGACA